AAAGAGATTTTAGAAGAGGAGGGTGAGAATGGCAGTATTTTGTAAAAGAGACTTTAGAAAGGAATAAATTAAATACTGAGAACACGAGATCTCAAGTAGAAGGAGGTGAATATTTTAGACAGTTTGTCAATTTGTGATGAAAACGCTGTAGTTAGACATGGTACCCAGCTTACACTGAAGCCTAGATTTTAGTTATTAAAGATACTAGATCATGCAGCTGTATAATGAAACACAACTCTTTTCAGAATAATATTGAGAGCATGTTGTAGATGTGATTCATTGGGATGAGCTGAACAGTCTGGCTCTTACACCAAGTTTGACTAGTACGAGGTGCAGCAGCAAAGACAAGAAGCTCCCAAAAAGTGTGTGAATATTGATCTGAATCACTAATGTGATTAGATTATTAGATCATTACTAGATTATTAGATCATCACACACCCAATGTCAGGTCTAGACATGGAAGCCTGCCTGTGAAAAAACATAGTGAGCGTGTTCCAGAAGGTGTTAGTGAGGGGTTAACTAATTTTCTAATGAACAGACAGGAACCTCAGAGAATCATGTTCCAAGTTATGATCTGAAACTCTTTCTCTCCCTTTGTACTACAGAATGTTTTGCTCTATGTCTGTGAGAATGAGGGAGACGGTGGAAGGGGAAGTAGGTTTTGCTTTCTGTTATTTGTAAAATACTATTTGGACCTTTGCCTTCAGATGTAACAGGTGACAGTGGCATCTGTACAGCCTGCCAGGATTGCCTCCTGCAGTTAGTTTCCATGCCAGTGAGCACTTTGTGTGTTGGAAAAGGCACTGTGACAGGCTAGCTCCCTGTCTCAGAGAAGCTATGCCTCTTCGATGCCCACTTCAAGTACATCCTGTTAAAAACAGTGCAAATCAAGAATATTTGAGGAGTTTTATCATACTTTATTTTTCTTGAGCAGTAACTTAAAATCCTTGAAAGTTATCATAAGCCTGGCTGATTTACAAGTAGATTTTCAAAAGCTGTACATTCTAGTGTTTTTATTGGATCATCCAAGACAGGTCTAGGGGAATTACAAATAGAGGAGTCTAACAAGACACTTTTTTTTTTTTTGCTTTTTTCTTATTGGCTTTCTCAAGAGCATGAATTAGTTTTATGACATTTTCCATCCTTCTTTCATCTTTGTCACAGGAATGGATTGGATTTTCCTTTTTCAGTAGATTCTCCTTTTTCTTGAAGTGTATTTTCACAGACTCTTTCAGTTCTCACTGGACATTCCCTTGCTTCCCTCACAGCTGGTGAGATACTAAATGGGGGAAGCTGGTACATTGCTGAAAGGGTGAGTCCTTCAAAATGAAGCATATTGAAAAGGTCAAAACAATTCTAAACAGCACTGTAGTTCAGTACATAATGCGGGTATTAACATTCAGATACCTTCCACTCTAGCAAAATTGAAACAAGAGATGAAAACAATCCCTTCTCATGACAAGTATTGCAAGTGGGATGGAGGAGGGAAATAAACACTTAACTGGTTCCTGTAACTCTTTTCACATTTTCATCATTTTGTGCTTGTCTTAAAAGACAAAATCTTATTTACAAAGTTTTTGTTTTACTAAGTTTCTAAGTTTTATTTTGCTAGTTAATATCTGAAATCTGCTTTTTGATCTACTAGTGACCGAAAATCAAACTTTAAATTGAGCTCTTTTTTTTTCTACTTTTATGACTGAACCAGAAAAATAAACTCAAAAATTTATATTCCTAACTACCACCCAACCATTCTTTGTCTTCTCCTCCCCCTTCATCCCCAAAAAATCCATGAAGAATTGTTTTGATGTGATTTCTTTTGATTGGTTTAGCCTTCAAAAATTAAATAAACTTTAATTTCAAATTTTCTATCTGAAACTAGTTTTTGAGACAAGATGCTTGAAATTGAAAAACTAAAATGTTTTGCTTATTTCAGACTTTTTTCAATAATTGTTTTCCAAATGTAAAGTATTCACAAATACTTTTGATCCACCTGAAACTGCTTTTTTGGTGTTTGAGAGGCTGGTTCTGGGCTATAGCCTGCCTGGCCTATAAATCATGATATTAATAAAGCTTAGTCAGGTGTGTTGCTGTGCTGATGTTGGGCATCTGCATCAGCTATATATTGTGTCCAGGTAGCCATGGGAACATGAATTATGAACAGCAAGAAGGGAAAAAAACCCTCAGTGACATGTTCAGTCTCACTAAAACGATTTCTCATGCACCAGTTTACCCTAGTCATTGTTTTTTGTAAATCCGTAACAGTCACAGACTTGTGGTTGATCCAGTACTTTATTAAAAAAAAAAAAAAAAAAAAAAAAAAACAAAACCAAAAAACACAAACCCACGACTATATTACCATGTCTCACTTTGTCAATGCAAGTTTAATTAAAACCTTTCACCAAGTGGATTCTTGTTCAGCCAAGTAACCCTTTTCCATTCATCAGAGCTGATTGAATAAATACAAACTGGGATTAAATTACTAAGGGTTTTATGTTACAGTATTGACTGCTGAATGTTTTTTCTTCAGCCAAGTGTTGATTTTGCAGTCCCATCTGGATCAGTTTGGGGCAATAGTCAGCATTGTTTGAGGCAGCTAACTTAGTCGCTTTCAGCATCCTCCTCACAGAGAAAGGCAGCATCTCTCATGCAGTGTGCTCTGACCCACTGAGTTAGGTGACACGAGCGTGTTTAAAGCTGCACTCACAGCACAGATTGCATTCAGATAAATTGCACAGAGGTATCCAAAAAATCCTGGGTTTGGGAAATCTTGCATGGGAACCTGATGCACGCGTTGCTCCAGCATGCACTGACTGAGCAATGGTCTGCAAGTGGTAGCTGTTGTCACAGGCAGATGGCTGGCTCTGCATGAGAGATAATGCACAGGTACTTGGTACTCTTACTATCCCCCACCCTGCATTAACGGTATGATTGAGTTCACAGGGACTGTTGTGAGGCGGCGGCTGCAGCGGGAGCACAACAGGCAAGGTTTTCTATCAAGCTTCTTAGCAGCTGAAGTGTTAATTTTCACCTGAGTGTTTTACAGAACTATTAGGTGCATTATGGCTAATTTGCAGTGTTCTCTTATGCTTATTTTAAAACTCTAAGAGACTGGGCTTTATATTAGTGTTTGCAATTGACAGCTTGTGAAGTTGGAGAGCAGAATGAGTTGCTGTTTAGGATAAATAGGAAGCATTATTTATAAATAGGAAGCAAGAAAATTGACAGCTGCAGTAGCATGAAGAAACCCAAGAAGGGTATATTTAATGACCTAGTGTTAGACTAACCCATTCCAACAGAATAAAATAAAGCAGGAAAAAACTTGTCAAGAGGTGCTGCTTTTCTGTGGAAGCAGCAGGTTTTGAAATTCAGGCAGGAGATCCTGCACCTCCTCCTGTACCTGAACTGTTAAAATGCAACCAGCTCAGGCCTTAAATACCTGTATTTAGGTATGCTACACTGTTCTAATATGCTAGCCAAAGGCTTTCTAAACATGCTTCCACCAGGTTTGGTGTAGCAGGACTTTCAGAGAGCAGGGAGTCCTGGTGTTTGTTGCTTGTGCCTTGAGAAGGAATGGTTGAGTGCCATAACTCTGTGTTGTGGTTTCAGCTCAGAGGGCAACTGAGTACCACACAGCTGCTCACTCCTCCCTTCTCCCCCCAGAACTGAGAAGGAGAAAAACACGGGATCAGGATTCAAGATAAGGTCAGGGAGGGGTGACTCACCTGTTACAGCCACTGGCAAAAGACAGACTCATTAGGAAAATAAAAAAAAAAAAAAAAAACAAAACCAAAACATAATTTTAATAGAGACACTAACAACAACACTTAACAGACAAAGTAGGACAGTGAGAAGCATTGCCACATCTTGAGAACACCTTCCCCCCACCCCTCCCTTCTTCCCAGGCTCAGCTCTGCTCCCAATATCTCTACCTCCTCCCCCAGAAGTGCAGGGGCAGGGAATAGGGGGTGCAGTCAGTGCTGCCGCTTCTGCCATCTGCGGTGGGGGGAGCTTCTGGAACTTCTTCCCCCTGCTCCAGCATGGTCCCCCTCTCACAGAAGACAGTCCTCCACAATTTTTCTCCAACTGGAGTCCCTCCCACGGCTGCAGCCCTTCCCGATCTGCTCCAGTGTGGGACAACCCTGCATGCTGCAATCCTCCCAGTGCCAAACTACAACAGCGGGGGCTGCTTCTCCCCACAGGGTCCTGGTCTCCTTTGGGTACATTCACCTGAGGCCATGTGGGGCCCCCCAACAGACTACATATCAGTGTCTTCACTACTGTACCCCTCCATAGGTGGCAGGGGTGGATGCCCTGCCGTCTCACTGCAGGACACGGGGGTCTCTGCTCTGGCACACCTCCCCCTTCTTTCCTCCTCTATGCTTCCACTGACCTCGGTGTTCACATAGGTGATGCAATTCTTCCCCACACCTCCCACTCCTCCTCCCTTCTTAAATACATTATGACAGGGGCGCAGCCACTGTTACTAATTGGCTCAGCCTTGGTGCAGAGGCAGGTCTGACTTGGAGCAAGGGGAGCTTCGAGAAACTTTTCACAGAGGCCGCTGCTGTAGCCCCCCTCCCTTGAGGATATTGACGACACGGACTCCGATATTAAGATCGAAGACCCTTTATTATTCAGAAAGCTGCCTTTTTATCCCCCTACAAAGTTGTCAATCCCCCCAACATAAGTGCTTATTGGCTAACATACATTACTCACACACCTATTCTAACATTTAATTGGCTAGATTAACTACGCATATATTTTTTTTCCTTTGTCACAATAACTTTTTTGCTCCAGGCGTTCTTCCAAAGTCCTCTGTTGTTCACTGATAATGTTCTTATTTTTCTGTTATTCCAAAACCTTATTTTTCTGTTATTATCAAACCTTCAAGGTCTGTTGTTACCTTATTTTTCTGTTATTCAAGGTCTGTTGTTACCTTGTTTTTCTGTTATTCAGAAACTCTATTTTTCTGTTATTCACAAAACTTCAAGGTCTGTTGTGACCTTATTTTTCTGTTATTCAAAGCCCTTATTTTTCTGTTATTCAAAAGCCTTCAAGAGCATCATGGCCTTCATTGATGCAAAATGTCTCCACAATTCCCCCTTTTTTGTTTTCAACAACCAAGGCAAGCAGTTGTTGATATTGTCATCGAATCACCCCTTGAATACACTGCAAAAAGCAAGGTAACATCAACAATCAAAATCACCAATAAAACCATTCCTCCCCAGAGAATTACTTCTTGTAACCATCCCATGATGCCCCCATCCATATAACAGCCCTCTTAACTATTCTGGATCCTTTTTACTCTTCAAATCTTTGGTCAAATCTTTTAATTGTCTTAATTGTTTGTGAATGGACTCCATATGATCTGACAAATTCATACAACACATTCCTTCAGAATCCTCACATCCATGCCCTTGAGCTAACAATAAAAAATCTATGGCTGCTATATTCTGACGCATTGCGTGCCTTACTGAATTTACATCTACTGCTAATTCTGATATTAAAGCTGAGGTTAAATTCATTTGCTTCACCACCCAACATGACAACTTATCTATGTTACCTAAAGCTTTACCTATACCTACATTTGGAGCAAACAAAGCTACTAATACTCTTACTGCTTTTCCCCAATTAACCACCTTCAAATTACAACCTTGCTGATATCCTAAATCTCTTTTTTGCCTTTGTTTTGTTTGTTTGAATAACTACATCATGGATGGGACTAACATAGTTAATCTCCCTAACATACAAGGTCCTCCCGTTGGTTTGGCTGGGACTCCAGGTCATGCTTTATCACCACAAATCAAAAATACTCCTGGTGGTGGCATCCTTGGTTTGTCAATTAACTTTGATTCAACTATTTTAATTTGTCCTCCATACCACCAAGATGTATTCTGATATATAGGATTATGTGGGTCTAAAACTTGCATGTCTGAATCGTCCAGCCATGCCCTAACTCTTTCTGTCCTGATCCTTGTACTGAGAAATTGAGTCATTAACCCCAATGATTCCACTGTGACTTTGCCTCTTCCTCTCTTACTAAATCTCACACAACTATTATTTCCTCCTGATGCAAGAATGTTTAATTCTTCAGGGTCTGGCCCAATGTGATTTAATGCCTGAATGATCTTTTGAATGTCGCTAGCATTTTGCACGTTATTTAAGACTCTAGCATCATTCACATACTCCCAAAAATCTTTAAAGTCCTTTACCGCCTTCCCAATAAGACATGTTCTGAATGGATCTCCGGGTGTGGCTAATGACAGACACAATGAGTCTTGCCCTGTTAAGTTTGCAAAAGACACCCATAAGTTTTGTCTTGTTTGGATGGCCCATGGTCCTGCTGTCATTGTTGTGATGATTGCAGCTCCAAAGATGATCCATCCAATGAAGGTTCCTTTTCTACTGCCGGTTTCACCTGTTTTGCTGGGATCCACGTAGGTCCACTATCTGTAATGACAGAAGCATAACCTCTTCCCCATGTTACTAATTGAAATGGTCCTTCCCATACTCCTTCCTTGTTTTTCACTAATACCTTAATTTGTTCTTTATATGTTGACATTCCTATTGACATAGCTTGCATATGTTTCATAATGGGAGGAATAGTGTCTTCCCCTGCTAATCATAAAAAGTTCATGACATATTGTACTTTCATTAATCTGTTTACTAGTGTCTCTCCAGATTCCCCTTGTTTTTGTTTTTGCAAATAATGTTTTAATGTTTGATGTATACGTTCTATAATTGCCTGGCCCGTCGGAGATTGTGGAATGCCAGTAATATGTTGTACTCCCCATTTGCTAAAAATTTGTTCTGTCGATTTTGAAACATATGCTGGGCCATTATCTGTTTTTATCTTTTGGGGGATGCCTAATGTTGCAAAAGCATGTCTAAAATGATTCTGTACATGCCGAGATGTTTCACCACTCAGTGCTGTCATACAGGCCGCCATTGAATATGTATCAATGGATACATGCACATATTTTAATTTCCCAGATTCTGGGATATGTGTCACATCTGTTTGGCACAATTGTAGTGACTGCAATCCTCTTGGATTAACTGTTATTGTTGGTCCTTTTGTTATTTACTGACAGTTTGGGCATGCTTGTATGATTGCCTTTGCTTCTGAAATTGGTAAATTAAATCACCTTTTTAAAACTTTCACTGACTGATGGAAAAATTCATGTGATATGCAAGCTTGTCTCCATGTATCAGGTACAGGTAGCATAAAGGCTGGTTGTGTAAGTTTGTCTGCCCTCGCATTTCCTTCAGCACAAAATCCTGGCAGGTTGGTATGACTATGGTGATGACATACATAATTTTCATGGTCTCGTTGCTGCAATAACAACCATAATTCCTTCATTTGAGTAAATAACAATTCATGATTAATTTGTTTTAAAAATGATCTTTCCAAGCGCTGCACCACTCCAGCTACGTAGGCCGAGTCTGTGATATATTAACTGGTTCTTTCATCCATTTTTTAAATACTTCAATTGCTGCTTGCAATTCTACAATTTGTGGAGAGGACTGGAAAATCACCACATGTGATTTCCACTGTCCATTCTTGAGCCATGTCAGGGCTGCCTTCCCAGTTTTTCCACTACCATCTGTAAAAACTGTTGGCCCACTTATTGGAGTGGCACTACACTTAGGCTTCTGTTCCAAACACTGCTGCTCTATAAAAGTAATTAGCCGATGACTTGGATGATGCGCCTTTATATGTCCACTAAAAGCTGCTAAAGAAATCTGCAAAAACTGACTATTCTGTGAACACCATTGCAAATATTGCTCTGTCATAGGAATGATAATAGTTTCAGGTTCTTTTCTACTTAATTCCACAATTCAGTTCCTACCCTTCATAATTAACTGTGTGAACATTTCTGATCCGGTTGTAATTGTTTTTTTGAGGATGGTGAGATAAAAACTGCCATTCCAAAATTTTTCATTTTTCTGTTTCTGGCTCTTTATCTACCCATTGCATTATCATTTCTATGGGTTGAAAGTCAGTATTAATGATTAATAATTCTATAGGATGTCCATACACAATACGATATGCTTGTCTCTGGCTTAAAATTTGGTCTATCTTTTGCAAGGTCTGTTCTGCTTCTTTTGTTAATGATCTGGGCGCTGTCAATTCTGTATTTTCTTTTAGCAATTCAAACAATGGTTTTAAGGTCTGATTATCAATATCCAATAAATTCCTTACCCAATTAATGTTTCCTAACAATATTTGCACATTGTTAAGTGTTTGAACATTCACCCTTATTGACACCTTTTGAGGTTCGATAGTGTGGTCTAATATTTTCCAACCCAAATATTTCCATGGTGCAACGCTTTGCACTTTTTCAGGTGCAATTTGTAATTGACAATCTTTCAATATGTGACACAATTCCTGTTTAATTTGGTCAGTGTTATCTTTCCCTGCTATTTAGTATATCATCCATATAATGATACACTAGTAGTTGTGGATATTTTTCTCTGAGTGGCCTCAATGTTATATCCACATAGATTTGACACATTGTTGGTGAATTTTTCATTCCTTGAGCCAAGACCACCCATTGATACCATTGCACTGGTCCTTGTCTATTTGTTGTAAGCACTGAGAATGCAAACCTAACACTATCATCAGGATGGATTGGTATGGTAAAGAAGCAGTCCTTTAGATCAATGACTAAAATATTACACCCCTCAGGTATCATAGTTGATGATGGTAATCCTGATCGCAAAGGTCTCATATCTTCCATGACTTCACTGATTCATCATAAATCATGTAACAATCTCCATTTTCCTGACTTTTTCAGTATTACAAAACCAGGTGTCTTCCAAGGACTAGTTGATGGCTGAATATGTCCTGCTTGAAGCTGTTCCTGTACTAACTGTTGTAAAATGGCAGCCTTTTCTGCTGTTAAAGGCCACTGATCCACCCAAACCGGTTTGTCAGTTTTCCATTTCACTTTGAGTATAGGTCTCTGATCAGTAGCCATTGCTAAAAAGGCTTCACTGATTTTGTTGATAACACACATTTAAACTGAGCTAACAAGTCTCTTCCCATAAGGTTCTTTGGAATTTGTGCCACATAAGGTTTTGTCCAGCATGTGAATCCATCAGGCATGATAAATGCAACTGTAAATTTACTCACTTTTGTCGTGGCATTACCTCCAACTCCTGACAAAGTTCCTCGAGGGAGGGTAACAGGCCAATCCTTTGGCCACTCTGCTTCCGATATTACAGTGACATCAGCTCCTGTATCTATCAACATATCAAGTTGAATTAATTCATTGTTTAAGGTGCGCATGACAGTCATCTTTGGTTTTTTATTCTGGATTTCAAGAGCCCACATTATTTGTTTTTCTTGTCCTGTTGATCCAAATCCTCCACTCCCTCATTCTTTATTTTCAACACAAGGCACCTTATTATAAGATGGTACAAGTTGTGCCAAACATGTCCCTGCTGGAACAGCAACAGCGGGGCTAGGTGTCCACACCATTGCTTGTATGGGTCCTATGTAATCCCCATCGATGACTCCAGGTAAAACAAAAATTCCTTGTACAGTTACGCTAGAGCATCCCAATAGTAAGGCACTAAGGCCATGTCCCAGGGGGCCATGGGCATTTATTGGTATTCTATGTACACTATTATCTGTTAAAGTAAAATCCTTAGTATTTACTACATTCACTCCGGTGCTTCCACTAGTCTTGTCTGTGATTTGGTCCAAACACCCTGACTGCTGTTTTCCCAAGATGGAGGCTGGTTTAAAACTTTCAGGGGCATTTGTGTCTTGGCGCGGCCCTGGTCCGTGCTGCATTTCCCGTTTCCCTGCTGATGATTAATAGGATTGCCATTCTTATCAAACCGAGACCAACACTGATTGGCATAATGACGTCCTTTGTGGCAGTGTGGACACATCCCTGGCATGCTACCCCATTGTGGTCTGTTCTGACACTTCCCTTGACCACATTGAAAGCTCAGGTGCCCTTGCTGTCCACAGGTATAACACCTCCTTGCTCCTAAGGGCTTCATCGCAGCCAAAAAAGCTCCTGCTAACATTGATGCTTGTTGTTCCATAGTTCCCACCCGGATGGCTGCTTCTACCATTTCTACTAAGGTGGCATTTCAAGATAGAGCAATCAATATCTTTTTACAATCGATATTAGCATTTTCTAAAGCCAATTTTAGCAATAACGATTCTTTGGCTTCCAGGTGTTCAATTTGCTTGTCTACAGCATCACATAGCCTATCTATAAAAGTCATATAAGGTTCGGTTGGCCCTTGCTTGATGGAAGTAAATGAAATTGGTGCCTTGCCAGTTTCAGGCAAAGTTAAAAATGCCCTTAAAGCCATCCGTCCGGTTTCTCTCAAAACATCCGGTAGCATTCTTGATTGCAATTGAGGGTCTGTAAGCTGACCCATACCGGCATAATGATCCATGCCAATTCCTAGCAAAGGATCCCCTTGCTGGCATCCCAAATTCTCCACTGCTTTTACTTGACAGAGTTCTATAAATTTGTCTCTCCACAGTAGCTTTTGTATCGGCGTTAAGATTAGTGATGCCAACTGCTGACAATCATACTGAGTGACTAATTGCCCACACAAAACATTTTCCAGTAACATTTGTGAGAATGGAGACTGTAATCCATTCTGCACAACAGCCTTCCTTAGTTCCTTCACTAATTGCCAGTCAAAAGCCTGAAACTGAGGCGGCTGGTTTGGTTTTAGAGTAACTGGAAATGCCAAGTCTATCTTCTCTCCATCCTTTAACCCATCCATTCTTATTTTTCTCCAGCTTTCCCTAATAGACTCTCTCCTCCGGCCTCTTGTCTTTCTAGCCCCTTGAATGTATTCCGCTTCACTGCTGCTGTCATAATTCATTTTTCGCAAAGAATGCCTGATACCCTTTTTCGACCTTAGTGATTAGTTACTTTGTTGTGAAGCCACAGTCTCACAGTCAGATTCTTTATCCGCCCGCAACTCCTTGTGGCCATCATCGCTAGGATCGGTCTGCGTGCCTGCAGTTACGAGGCTGTCTCTACAGATAATATTCTAGCTCATAAAATACATGTTACGATGCTAACAACATCTGGTCTCTTTCATGCCCACGTTCTTATGTTTTGAAGATCTTGCTAATCCAGATCTGTCGTACTAAGTACCTCATTTGGAGGGATGGATTTTTTTTTAATTTCTTCCTCCTTTCTTTTCTAGTTATTTATTGCTGACTGCTGAGGTGTTTTGGCTTGATTACACTTGTAATCTACACACATTTTCCCCAAATAAATTCTGTTATTTAAGATTCCCTTCTCTCTTAATACGTGACATGGATGTAAGCCATGTAAATATGAATGCAAAGATCTTTTTAGTATACTTCACAGCAGTTCAGACTGTAACGGAAAGCCTGGGTTATTCATTGAATTTTTAGCTGTACTGGATACATGATTGCCTTCTTGAGTGGCAATCACAAATTATTACCAAAGGGCAACATAAATGTCATTCAGATTTCAATGACTGAGCTCATTATGACATTTAGAGTACTTACCGCTTATTGTGAGTTTTGCTGATTGCTGCTTATCCACAGATTAGAAATATGGCAGTGTACCTTAGACAACCAGAGACATTTTCTTCCAATTCTACTCATCTCAGCTGACACCTCTCTTTGTAGGTAATTGAACTGTAGTCAGCAAACCTACAGGGAAAATCCAAGAGAAAACTGGAAGTCAGCTTGGGTTGGCTGTGACATCAACTGCCCCATCAGACGCAGAAGTTGAGGTCAATTTACATGAAAAGAGGTGCTGAAATGCTACAGACCTCTTGAAGGACTGAAAGTCCAAATTGACTCATTTTGTCACAACTAGAATCTGTAAGACATTTCAAAGCTTCTCACTGCAAGACAAGTATCAAGGAGAATTCAACTTAATTATGTTTCCTTGTAGGAACCTAAGTAAAAGAGGAAAGGGCTGGAGCTAAGGCCTTGCTGCAGGGCTGTAGTTCTATGCCAGGGAAACTCTAAAAATCTTGATACTTCCTATTTAAATCTTCTAAATATCATCTTAAACAGGTAGAATTATGAAGAAATTAGTCTTCAAACTAAAACCTAACCTGTTCATATCTTTCCATTTAGATATTTAAAAAGTGACTCTACAGGTGAGTTACTTGGGTGCAGAATGGCATTGTGGAAAGCCACAACCAAATTACTTCTTGCTGATTAAGCACAACTCCAAGTCAAGTCTAATGCTGATACGGGTATTCACCATTTAGAAAATCAACCAAGTGGTGTGCCAGGAATGGATCTGTTCTACAGGGCTGGTTTTATTTACATCCCTATGTGAAAAACATAGGTATGATTTGTGTCAAGATGGAATATGGCATGATAAGTGTAATTGTTGTACTCTGTATGGATCTGAACTGAATTGGGATCGCTATAACCTATATAATAATTGTGATGAATATTGGAATCAAATCGAGAACGTGTAGGAATATAAAGCGTACCTTTTGCTTGGAACAATGTAGCCGACACCTTTTAGAAACACTCCTTAAACCCCCCCCACCTTGAGAGCTGATGCAATAGCTGCTTAGAAAAAGCCCGCCGAAAGATGAGACCCCAAGACTTTCAAAGGACCCAATAAGAGGAAAGCGCGCCAAGAGGTGGAAACCTTCAGACTTTCAAAGGACCCAATGGGAGGAGGACGCTACTCCAACAATTTAAATAACCCAATAGAAGAGGAGCAGGATGACTATCTGATGGAAAGGGACAGCTTGAGATGCTTGTGAAAGAGTATAAAAGGCACTGCTTTTAGAACTCGTGTGTGTGTGTGGCAGAGTTGCAGCTCTCCACACACCCAGCGCTGCTTTGCCCATTGCTTCTCACCCTAAATTAATTAAACCCAAATAAAATTATATGCTTTTTATAAAGATTGGCTTCAATCATTTTATCACCTGGCAATGCTGGTTTGTAAGCGGTGCTCTGTGTGTATTTGAGAAAGGGGTGAACACCTTGGTTGAGACAAAACCTGATAAGTCAGACACAGGTTTGGTCAGGCCTTGGAGCTTCTGTGAGTAGGAAGAGTTCCAAGGTGTGCAGAAGTCAGCTATCACTTGCACACTAGGACTTCTCATGACAGTGTCAAAAACTACTTAATGTATCACTTGCCAGAATCTTTTCTGTAACAGGCAAAATATCAGTAAAATATCCATTTTACTTCCCTGACCCATTAGCAGCTTTTCCTATCAGCTTAATCAATGGTAAGAGTGTTCCAAATAATCTGGATTGTTTGCATGTGTCCTGCTCACTCCATCTTTAAGTAGATTTCCCTGCACTGACAGAGCAAAACCACTTTTTAATGTTAGTTAACATCTCTTAGTGATAAAGCTTCTCAGATAATGAAAATAACTGTCTTTAACACTTCAATGGAAATGATCAGTGGCTTTCCAAAGCAGAAAGGCACTTAAAATCATCTTATGGACTACAATATTTTGAAAGCACACATTACTATAGGAATTAAACATCTGAAAAAAGCTTTGCCTTTAACCTAAATATTTATTCTTTGTGTCTTACCTATCTTCCTCAGCTTACCTTCTTACCTTACTTTGTATTTCATGGAAGAGCTGGACTAAAACCAATTTCAAGAATGCATCAATCCATACCCAGCTCTAGAACAGGATCCTTTATATTCATCTCTCAGACAGTTATAATTTTAAAGACCTTCAAAGATGAAGGTTCCAAAATGTCCACAGGAGAGCTATCACAGTACTTCTCTAGCCTTCTATACCTATCCCAAGTCTTTCCTGCTTAGAAGTCACAGCCACAAAAATGGAGGAAAACTTGTTCACTTCCTTCTTCTGTCCTCTATATAACTTAATTAAGTGCATATAAACAGTAAAACAATGTCCTTTTCTTCAGTGACATTTTTAATCTACTAGCATCTTCGCAAAGCAGATGCTGGCACTTACCCACATTTCACAGACATAAAATGAAACATGGAGAGGCTGAGGCCAGAGCCAGAATCCCAGCCCAGGGCCTTCTGTGCTATGGTCATGTTTGAGTCCTCATCATGTCTCCATCATGGCAGAAGTAATAAAAATCTACCAACCAGAATTCCAGTTTAGATCATGTGCTAAAATCATTCAACTTTCTTAGTGGATTTTTCCCTAGCTTAGTAGCTAAAGGAACATATTAGTGGTGCCTAAGAAAAGCAAGCAACCTTTGTCTCAAGCATTACAAACTATCTTGGACTGAAGATAAAGCCAACTACAAACTGGAAAAAAGTTGGGAGTGTTGAATTTCCTTACAAACATCACAAAGTCTGTCTGCTAACTTGTGTCCCAGTGTGCAAGACCATGGTGCAAGGTAAGAAATTTATAGCTTCTTTTTTTAGCTCTCCTTGGTGTATATATGTGTTTCAGGTCATGTTACATGGAGTAGCAATGCAGGTAAGCAATCTCCCAAAGTCTTTTTTACAACTTCCTCAGCTGCTGTACACCTACTGTCCTAGAAGGTAATGCTGTTTCTCATCAACTGCTTTGATTTTCTCCAGGTCCACCTTCTAACTATTCCCTTAGTCCACCAGAGTCACAGTTCTTTTCCACAGCCTCTAATACCCATGCAGATTACAAGGCTTATTACCAAGTTATGTCATTAAACTGCTTTTTTTTATAGACAGTGAGTGCTCCCCCTCTCATGCTCAGCTGTTTTCTCCGGTCTTTGCAAAGAGCTGCTCTCCAGTTCACTGTACTGTGTTAGTCTGTGTGGTTTATTCATAGATGCATTTCACAGCACTAAACTATATCAAACTGCAAGGCTTCCAGTATGGGGCGGGGGAAGAAATACAGCTGCTCATTCAGGTTCATGGACATCACACATTTTCTGCATGTGAAGCTTTTGCCTTTTCACAAGTGCTCCTCAGCAGCTCTGAGGAACTGCTGCAATAGCAATCCTCGGTATGGGCCAATGTTTTCTCCACAGACAGAGCAAGACTCTACTACCAAAAGAACAATGCACAAAATCTCTGATAAGATCTCTGGCAGAGATTTCCCCACCCTGAGTTACTGGCTATAGGGAAGAAATACATCAGAATATTTTGGCTGTGAATGGGAAACCTGTCTGTATATTTTAACCATCCAGCTGCTACTTGAATATATGGGGATATATTCAAAGACAAGTTCAGCAATTAACTACCCTGGCTAGTTTGCACTATCCTTTCTTCTGAAATCTCATTGCATTTGTTTGTCAGAGGAAACAGGGTCCTTCTTCCTGAAGGCACTGGCAGTCACAGAGAAAACCTGATTAAAAACTGCTCCTACCATGTTGCCTGCTCCTCTACCACATGATGCAATGATTTACATTAATAACAGTAGAGTGCAGAGAAGACCTGCTGAGCCTTTAATAAACTTCCTTTTTCCAATCACTTAAAATGTTCTTTAAAGTTGCAAGTGAAGTAATACAAAGCCTGCATAACAGTATACTTGTCATTTATGAACTTGGCAATAAATCTGATTTTCATTTTTACAATGTCTGCTTTTGATTAATTGTAAAAAGTTTTCTGTAAATACCTCCTTTAGAAAACAGTGGAATGGTTAATCAACTACATTCTGCATGGTAATACCTTAAATTATAATGGAGCAAATGCCTTAAACCAGGTACATTAAATTCAAAGTACTACAAAAAGCCAAGTGCTCACAAGTTCAACTTTCATTACAATTCTCATTAGGGAATAATTGCGAAGCACCCTGAACTTCTTCTAGCCTTAGCGTCTATTAATGTAGAGCATAATTCTGTACAAGTTTTAAGTTAAAAACCACACTGTTCAAATGGAAGCAACATTTGTAATGTATCTTAAACCCCCTTATTTTTCATAGTACAGAATGATTTAGTTAGAATAGCAAGAGATTGCAATATAGACTTGAAGGGCCAAGAAAAATCCCCGCTATTATTACTATTTTTTAGCATGACACAAGCAGTACCCAAGAAATGTAATTATGCCAGAATTCTGCAGCAGAAAAGACCTGGCAGCAAGCTGTGTGGGGTGCATTTTTATCACTTCAGGAAACTGTCTAACCTGCTACTCATGGGTCCTTTTCCGGGAGGGTGCCAAAGCTGAAGGGTAATAAAACTATAATGAACAGCTCCAAATTAAATTCTGCTGTTGTAATGCGGCATTCTTTTGCCATAAATGATTTCATTGCAATTACAAAAACAGATACGTAGCCCACAGCAGGTGGTTGGTGATGTACTAGCACCAGATAAGTTGGCCTGCCAACAGAAAAAATGGCAAGAGAAAAGATTCTGCATACAGAAGCAGGTCTGCGATCCAGTACAATAAACATAAAGCTGCATTATTAAAGGAGTAACTGATATCACAAAGAATTAATATAGCTACTGAATAAATGTTTCTGAAGTGTTTGTCTGGTTCGCTGCAGAGGCCAGAACCAGACCTGTGTAGTGTTCAAATTTCATTAGTACCTCACCAAATAGGTGTGAAATGATGGATGTGCCATGATTTGTTATCTGCCTGAGAGTTCACTGTTCTCCTAATTAGTACATGCAACTAAAATCAGCATTTTTAGAAGTTCATTTTTCTTGTGATTCTGCCATTTGTAGACAGTCCTACCACACTCAACAGTTGAAATCAATCAGACTGTATAATAGTTTTGACGAAAAGCAACCAAAAGTCATGTTCTCAACACTTTCCATTCTCTCTAATACTATTTGGGTTGAATTGTAACTAATTTTTAACACACAAAAAAGTTGCTTTTGTTGATATATCTTTTCCCTAATTGCTTGTGAACTAGTAACATTTTAAGATCAGCCATTACCATCAACGTGAGACAGGTGAAGTGCTGAACAAGAGAAGAATGAGGTAATTGCTCATTACAGTCAAACATAAAATAAATAAAGCAGGCGTCTTCCAAAAGTTGACTAGGCCTATTTCATCTGTGCATGAACACACAATCCGATGCACTTCACCGCTCTTTGAAGATGCAACTGAAAGCTCTACGCAAACAGAGAGCTCCATTTATACAAACACCCACTCTGTTCCCTCACCCTGAGCGCTGCAGACAGGTAAGTGCACAGCACAAGGCAGTACAGAAGAGCTCCTGGAGAGCAAGTCCCCCAGAGGTTATAAAAATCTATACAGCCATGGGGGACAACTTGTTTGCATGCACCAAAAGCCATGCAGATAAGGATGAACACGTATGTCAGAGGAGTCCTTTCAATGCAAATTCTCCAAGAATATAAAAAAGAATATTTTCAAATTTGCATAGATAGACTCAAAATATTTATGGTGACTCGAGACAATGCTGAACCTGTGCCAAAGTCTTGAGAAGTTTTCATGCTTTATATTTTCCTTAAAGATGCTGAATGAGTTGTTTATTTTTTAATATTGTCGCTCTTCACTGAGATATGTAGCTCTGTTCCCCACATAACACAAAATTATACTTCTCATATTCTTTTCCTTCTCTTCATCACATTACTACAGGCACAAAACTTACCATCAACTATCCATAAGCTCTCTTAATTTTAGTCTGTCTAATAATTCACCTTCTATTTCAGACCAGAAGTAAAGAGCCTCCAAGTAGATGCTTTTCCAGAAGCATGCATAAGAGATTTTCCAGGTATCCCTCTGCAGAGGCTGCTATCAGCTGCCATTTGAGACAGGTTAGGGCAACTCTGGTCTTGTCCAGTTTGCAGCTCCTGTGTCTTGGGAAGAATTTGTTGGAGAGCAATAACATAAACACCTGACAACATTAGGGATTCACATCAGTTGAAGTTCTGAAGACAAACTGGCTTATGTTTATTGCTCAAACCAGACAGTACAGCTCTTCTCTGACCTTGAAGAATTTTTTTACACAAAGCATTTTAAAAAGAAAACAACAATTGAGATCTTGCTACTGTTCTATCCCACTGCTAACCAGCAGACATCACCTTCACCATTAATACCAGAAAACATTAAACAAAAACAAGGATACCTAATAGTACAAGGGACTACGAGGTAAGTTAAAATAGCCTAAGACTGGATCTTAATCATAAAACTCAATAGAAAAAGCCAAAGAAGTTATTAACGTAAAGAACAGAATCACAAAAAAGTTGCAAGCTTCATAGTCTATGGTTTCCCAACTCTTAGGTAAAATAAACCGTAAATATATTTCTATCTATCAAATGTCGGTGGGCTGAAGCTGGTTCTCACTCCTTCTGCTGTCTGGTCCTGCCTCTTCTCAGACCCTGTTTTTGAAACCCTCAAGAGCAAGATTGCAATAATTTTCTCTAAACTTCTTCACATTCTTGTGCCATGACAGCTTTAGCATTTGGGGACACTATGTACATCAGAAATGCAGCTACAGACCCCAGAGGGCAGGAGGCAGAAACTGCTCTAAGAAAAGCTCCTGACTGTGGCAACATAACCCTGGACAAAATAAAAAATGCAGTTTTAACCATGTCAGCTTCAGTTGAGACTGTAAAACCTACTTGTCAAGGACCTGGGAAGGGTATTTCAGGTTCAGCCTGTCTCCTGGGGAGCATGCCTTTCTGAATGCTGTGCTCTGGCTTTCCACATCAGACAAGCAAAGCCTTCCAGTACTCCTACTTTACAACTTACTCTTGATTTCAGCACCACAGGTCACATTGCTGCAGTTCAGAGTGTCATACAAGAGCACCAAGCCACCGGAAAAGAATGGAAATTTCTAGTGGCACAGATCAGCCTTTCTAAAAAGACAGGAGCACTGCATCTAGAGACACAGGCTCATAGGATAATTTAGGTTGGAAGGGATCTGAGAGGCCCTGTAGGCCAATCTCCTGCTCAAGGCAGGGCCAGCTCTGGGGCCAGACCAGGCTGCTCAGGGCTTTATCCTACTCAAATCCTGAGAACCCTCAAAGATGTAAAACCCCTCCACCTCCCCAGTTTATTGTCATTCACAGTTATGATGAGAATGCACTCCCTCACCTCCTCCAGGTCACTGATAGAAATGTTAAACAGAGTGAGTTGCAGCATAGGCCTCCTACAGTACTCTACTTGTCACTGGCACTTACTCAGTTAATACATCAAGTTCAAACAGGAGAGAAGAGCCCGAAGTAGTCAGAAGTACTGTCAGCACAATTCACTGACAGTGCCCTAGGATTGCGGCTTTGCCTGTTCTGTCCTGACACATAAAGTCAGGTCACCTACATCCTTTTTTTGCTTGAAGATCCAATAAAGTTTTATTCACCTTGGCCAGTATTCAGCAAAAGTTTATAATAATTAGCTGTCAAGTCTTTCACTGTTCCTCCACAGCAATCTTATTCACATAGAGCAGTTCATGGCAGATCATCCCTAACTCTCTATTTGCTCCAACAAAAAGGAGAATAATCTTTCTAAAGTTAATGAAAAGGCATCATGTATATGTTACATACCTACATATATATTATTTCTATATGTAGGTTTCATTAAAACGTGTAAGTTTTTCATCTTCTCTGTAATACAGAATCATGTAACGGATAGTTCAGCAGTAAGAATCCCACCAATATGACTAGAGAGAATTGAAAAAAGCTAGTATTTGCTCACTAAAAGCTCCATATTCTACCCCAATGGACTCAGATATTCTTCCAGCAGCAGTGCCTGCCATCACTGGTCCATGTTAAAACTAACCTTAAAAAAGAGGGAATATTTCTGGTTCTCCTTAGGTCTTCTGTCTGGTTCCTCAGGTTGCCCTGCAAACATCCATTCTGGTGCACTTTCATGAGTGGCTGTAGGGATAGGAGCACACAACCAGAGAGCTTCTCCCATTGTCACTGGTGTCTGTAGGAACTAAAACACATGTGGGATCATGGCTTAGTTTATGACAAGAACCATTACATGGATGAGTTCTATAACAGAAAGCAAAAACAACTTTGCATAAGCAGCAGTAATCTCCATTAATAATGATGATGTAAATATTTATTTTATTCAGTCTATATTCACATTCCAAACCGAGCTTTAAGCAATAATATAAAAATTATATGTAAAAAAAATAAAATATGTCCATGGCTGGTCCCTGAAAGAGAAAGCAATGACTAGATAAGCCCATGCATCCTCCATATATCCTCCGTGGCTGCTGGCTGTTTAACCAGCACAAGGAATTTCATTTTCCTCATGGAGTCAGAACCCTGCTGGGTGAGAAAATTAAGATACACAGGAAAGAGGGAGACAAATTTTGCTACATATTTAAACCACCTTTTCCAGACACAGAGAAACGAACTGCCTGGATATGGGAGAAAAGCTTTATTAGTGACAGTTTTAAGGACTTCCATCACTTCTGTTAGGGCATTACTGAAAAGTTAAGTATTCCTCAGCTCTAATTTACTTTCCCCTGATTTTTCACTCTGTCTTTTCACTTATTTATGTTCCTAAGAAAGATGAACCAGGGGACTGCACGACGCAGAATGAGACAACCAGTCCAGTACCCCATGCAAATATTACAGAGGTGGCTGATACTCTTTTACTAATGCCATTGCCCACTTGAAATTAGTCCAGTGAGTAGGATCTCATGTATTTCCAGCTTAGTTTGATCTGAGCACTTTCAGATCATTTTCCCTATTGCTAAACTCTAGGATTAGAGGACCTATGTGCTTCCTTGTGATAGGGGACTCTGCATGTAACGTTGCAGATCCAGTAACCAGTGGTCTGGTCTGTCAAGTTCCCTTAGTCCTATATCATGTTCCATTCCAACCCAACAGGTCACCTTCAGCAACCCCAAAATCACCTGGGTTTTAGGGTTAGATCTCTGGGGGTCTACAGAACAAACAAAGTCATGTTACAGTCTCTGAGAAGGAGTTTCCAAACAGAATTGTCTATAAACATTGTCTATTTTTGGTGCTTTTGTTAAAGTAAAAATAACCTCCTCATTTTGCCCTCTCTGATACCCCCACCATACTTGCTATCTTATAGAAATGGCAGTCAACTTCCCAGAAAGTCAGGACGGTACTAGAGAAACACCATAGGAGCAGATGTTTTTTATAGGCTTCTCAGGCTGTCTTTCATATGGTAGTTCATCAACATTCACTTCACTCTTAAGTGGTACCAATCTGAGACACCAGAGGTCTGTGTTTTTAAGATTCTGCAATGATTACAATTACTAAAGCAACACACTCCTTCCCTTTAACTATAAGCAAACTGACTTTTGCTGCTGCCTTTGCAATGTTCCTGGCATATACTTCATAAATAGCCACCATCAACAGAAAGAGAAGCTTGCTGGATAGAAATCTGGCTTGGTCCCAAAAGCACTGACACATCCCAACTTCCTTTCCTCAGAAAGTGTTACTTATTAAGAAAGCTTGCACTTGAGGAAGAAGAAGCATCTAACAGCGCTATTTTCTGAAGCTCAAGAAGATCAGTTTGACTGAGTTTCCAGAATGTTTGCATCTTTCCATCTGCTGCAGCTAGTGCTGGTGTCACCAAATACTGACAGCAGGGATCTGCCAATTGCTGTGACTTGCTATTTTTTGTTTTTTGTAAAAAACAAATCGTGAGAACATGTTGTTTTTTTAAAATGCTGTCACAACATTGAAAAAAAAAAAGATTCCTTGCAGAGTGGTCTTTCTCATTCCCTTTGCAAAAATTTCTCTCTTTTAGAAAATGAGAAAGAGAATAAAAAAAAATGCCATTTGCTGGTTGCTCAAAGCACCTGGGTGTATTGCCTTAGGTCTTGCAGAATTGTTAATCCTGAAACCCCTCACTCGAGCCAGATGTGGCTCCTTCTGCCCCCGCCTGCAAACCCTGTGGGGATGGCATGTGGATGTGCCACCTGGCCTTGAACCCTTCCAGGGAGGGGGCAGCCACAGCTGCTCTGGGCACCCTGGGCCAGCACCTCACCCCCCGCACAGGGAACAATTTCTTCCTCAGATCTCATCTAAATCTCCCCTCTGTCAGCTTAAAACTGTCACTCCTCGTCCTACCCCCACACCCTGACCCAGAGCCCCCCCCCACCTCTCCTGTCCCCCCTTTAAGCCCTGGGAGGCCGCTCGAAGGGCTCCCCGGAGCCTTCTCTTCTCCAGGCTGAACCCCCCCAACTCTCTCAGCCCGGCCCCCCAGGGGAGCTGCTCCAGCCCCCCCAGCATCTCCGTGGCCTCCTCTGGCCCCGCTCGAGCAGCTCCGTGTCCTTCTGCTGTTGGGGGCCCCCGAGCTGGCCCCAGCACTGCAGGGGGGTCTCCCCAGAGCGGAGCAGAGGGGGAGAATCCCCTCCCTGGCCCTGCTGCCCCCCCTGCTCTGGCTGCAGCCCAGGGCACGGGTGGGTTCTGGGCTGCCAGCGCACGGGGCTGCCTCATGGGCAGTCTTCCCCCCACCAACCCCCCCAGTCCCTCTCCTTGGGGCTGCTCTCCAGCCACTCCTCAAGGGCCCAGCCTGGGTTTGTGCTGGGGATTGCCCCAACCCACGGGCAAGACCTTGCCCTTGGCCTTGCTGAACTTCATGAGTTTTGCACAGGCCTGCCTCTCAAGCCTCTTGCTGATGATCATGATCTACATTCCACTATTAATCTCTGTCATACACTGGATATGCATATACAAGGCTGTCTCATATAATGTCAACTGTACTTTTAATTTTCTGGATAAAACCAACAATCACCATGTTTAAAAAGTGAAAGAGGTTCTTCTGGCATCACTATGCAGTGGTGGGGTGTATGAATAAGTAGTTAATAAAAAATTTCTAAGGTCTGGTCCCAGGTTCAAGGTTTTGGAACCTTTAGCTCTTAACAACAGTGAGATGTAACAACTATTGAATGAGACTAAGAGGGCAATAGCCTCTTCTGCGATGTCTGGGAAGATGAATCAAAAAGGAGGAACCACAGGAAATCCCACATAAGCATGCGATCTCCATGATGACAAAGCATGCCATTTAAATCCTGAGAACCAGGTGACTAAGGCAATATTGTCTTGCACAAGAGATGACAAAGCAAAAAAGACAGTTAATATGTCATGCTGGAAATCCGGTATCTGGTTTGTCAGCAGAAAGAAAAAAAAAAAAAATAAAAAAAAAATAAAAAAGGGGTGAATTTCAGCGGTTCCACTTTTCATCTGCGGACCTCCCCGCTTTGAGTTCTGCCCTGATGCAGCCGTCAGGGCAGAGCAGAGATGCTTGCTGTACAGCAGCTGTACCTGCAAACCACTTGCCTTTCCTAGTGCTGGCACCACTTTGCTCAGCAGGACCTCAGTCCGAGCCAGAGTCCAGAGGCAATGCTGTAAGACTCATGCAAAGCCATTAACTGCTTACAGGCAAATACATCAGACACACAAAGAAACTACATTAAAAATTCTGGTCAATTTAAATGATACAAAAAGTCTGGCTGCGGCAGGGATTGTCTTTTTGTTATGTGCTGTAAAATGTCTTGCTCAGAAAAGCCCAGCAAGAACTCAAGGTGCAACACAAAAAAGAATGCCACTGAATATATTAAACAGTGAGTTGAAGCCTGTTTTGAGTAAATAAATGGAGAAGATAAATTCATGTTAATGTGTGCACAATTGAACTGAAGCATCACAAATGAGGAGGAGAACAGTTTTTAACTTGACAAAAAGAGAGGAAGAGAGACACTTTTCCTGAGTTTAGAATTTTCTATTAGCACAGACATGTTCTTGGTAAAAGCAATTTTCCTTCTCCCTCCCACTGAGCCATATTTGTCCCTGTTGCTACTATACTGATTTCAACAGAGTATCATCAGGAAGAATCTAGTAACAGCTAGTTTGTCATTACGCTTCCCTCAGTAACAAACTGAAGCATGCTGTGTTGCGAGTGAATGTGGCGAAACACTAAAAGACAGCAATTAAGAAAATGGCAAATATCACATCTCTCCCATTCTAGAACTGGCAATTTGTAAATCCAGTTTTTATGCTGGCTGATCACTGAGTAACTCAGTTCCTGTCTCAATTATTTACTCTATTATCCAAAGAAGTATTTTTTAAATGCTGGCTCCTCAAACTTGAATGAAAAAGTCAATATCCTAGATGTTATTTTGAAGGTAGAGAATAGATAAAATTTACAGCTGAAGGCCATGGTCTCCAATGTTTTAGGTCATGTTAAGGAAGAAAAAGAGTAATCAATTTTGGAAAATGTTTCGATGTTTGTAACCTCTCCCAAAGAGTAAATATTTAATTTCTAAATAATCAGGTACTTAGAAAGTGCTGAGAAAAAAAATGTAAAAGAGGAGTTACCAGGTTGGTTTGAATTAAATGTTAATACTAACAAAAGCAAAAAAAGAAGACAGAAGAATTAATGGAAGGCAAAACAGTTTGAAAATCCACGAGAATATTACAACACTCTCCTTTGTTACTCTCTGTGAAATAATTTAAACAACATCTGTTTCCTATAATATTTAATGAGCACCGTAAAGCTAGGGTAATCCCAGCTCAGGTATTTGCACAAAGCACTTAATCTTGCTGTAGTTCTTGACTCTGATAGATCAGCCCAGAGACTTGGAAATGTGGGAAATCAGTCATGTGCAACACTCGGTAGATCTCTTGGCTGCCTGGCTCCTGAAGGAGGTTTGCTGAGCTTTTGCAGAACATGCTGTCACAGAAAATAAGCAGAGAGCAAAGGATATGGGTGAAGATGCTGGGCTAAGGAGGGCTGTGGAAACTAACGGCTGGGCCATAACGTGGGAAAGGAAAGGGACAGAGAACATTAAGTGAGCCAGAAGGGAAATTAAAGCCTTTCTAGGCTAATGTGAGTTATGAGGGGGCTCCTCGTGGCACAAGTAGTCAATTTATCTTCCTGGAAGAAAAATAAAACTAACCTGGGAGAGTAATCTAGCTAATTATGCAATGA